ACGTCAAATGGATTAGACGTTTTATGCCGCGCACTGCAGCGATTGAAAAATGTTAGGGAATTGTTGGCTGAAACTCATGGAAATTTTCGCACAAATAGTTGTCCTGTTTATACCTAAAACTTACATGAAATAAAACTTTGAAAACACTAATTTTTTTCCTTTCTTCTCCTGTAAAAGTTTCACAAATTTATCAGTACAGCAGCATTCCTTCCTTATTCTAACACCAAATTCTCTTTCAGAGGTCCAAAAGAACTCTTGTTATTGATAAAAACTTTAGCCATACAGCCACCTCAGTATGCAATTCAAGTCGTTGGATGGGCTTATTAACAAGTGCCATTCTGCTGTACTTCTAGTGCAGTTGTTAAAATAGTATGTTTGTCTTGAGAAATGCGTTTAGTGCAGGATGGAATTAGTCAGCACGCATACCGCTCATTTAAAGCAACTGCAGCGCATTTTCATTCTGAACAGTATCTGCTTAGAATAAAAAATGACTGCAGTTCTTCTTAACAGCAACAAAGCCAGCCAACATGCTCAAAGAATTTGCTATCGCAACAACAAGCTGGAATAAGAACTAATAGGTTTCTAAAATGGCCGTTACAAGTTATAAGCATTTAGGTCTAATTGTTATAGAAACTGTAATTTTAATTTGACGATAAATTTAATGGGAAAAGCGGTAAGCTTGGTCCATTTGCATTTCTTGTAACAGTTCGCTATTCATTTATTTCAGTGATAAAATCTTATGCTCCATTGCAATTCAACAAAAAACTACTTATCCAGTCGCTTTAAGCAGTAGCTTATTACTCATGTGTTCAGCATAGCTCAGAACCATAATGAAAATCAAGAATGTTTAGAACCACTGCTTAGCCGACGGTTCGTATACGTCTGTAAAAATGATACGCATACCGCTAACCAACTACTACGTAACTAGTCCACAAAGAGCTTTTTCGAGAAGTGTAATGTGCAATTTGTACTCTAGAATAAACCATCTGTTTCTATTTGAAATAAACTCTTCAAATTAATCCGCAAAATAAGAAACGCAAACTGTTCAGTTACGTATTGACGTCACCAAACTATGTTGTTAATTTACCGTAATTTGATAACATTGTGATGAGAGAAACTTCTACTATATATCGTAAAATGCAGTTTTTCATGGCATCTAAAAAACTATTGAAATTCCATTTCTGCACAGCTTTTTTAATACAACAGATGGAATTTCCAGATGCGAGCTGTACCATGACGGTACAAAGCAGACCACCATATTTAAAATTTAAACAAAAGTTGTTGTACATAAGATTGTGTTAACCTTTTCCAGCTTATGAAATCCTTTATTACACCAAAAGTTTCACGTCAGTAATGCCAGAAAATGATTCAGATGTGCTACCAACGCTACTTTAGTAGTCGTCATTGCAAGTCCATAGCCAACAAACTGTTTCCGCATATTATAGCAGTAAATTTTGTAGTGCTGTATGCTACAAGGGAAATTTAAACGGTGTAAACGAAACCAACAGGTAAGGATTTGAAGAGAAATGACACTTTTTATTAGAGCATATTATAAATACCACTTTATGCCTGTTTTTGCGTAGTGTAAAGCAAAATCATCGGAAAGAGAAACAGAAATACCAACTCGTCACCTGCAATTTGAAAGTGCCACAAATAGCATCCATATACATTGATATAAGCTAATTATTTATTGACTATTTTCAAGAAATGTCCAGCTTAACGACTCAAAATGCAATTCTTGTGCTACCAAAAATTCCAAAACGATACCAATATCAACCTCATAGTTTTGAAATCTTCCTTAAATTAGAAAAACAAGCTCTAAACCGAAAATAGTTTCCTATTTAAGAATTAAGCATATAACCCCAGCAGACTACAAATACAGAACTCGCACCACATCTGCGCTAAAAGCCAATTCCAAAAAACCTTTCAAGACTAGCAATTTTTTAATTTTTTTGAACAATTATGTTTCAATCTCGTCACGAGCCGTACTTCACACTACCGTTTAGAAAAATAATTTTAAAATAAAATTTAAAACAGTGTTTAATAATTTTTAGCTGTCGCCTTGTAATCCTTTTATAATCCTTAATAAGCTGTTCTGACTGCAGTTCTCGACAGCAAAAGTACCATCACTAACAGAAAAAGAATCTGAAAGCAGTAATTCAATGACAGAAGAAATAAGGAAGCAAACTGCCACAGTTAAATACGCAAGCTACGTATGACACTGCAACTTTTTAAAAACCTTCCGATTCTCACCTTCCTGCTACTGACTGCTCGATTTTATAGTTTTACTTCTACTTTAACAAAAACTCAAAAGTCACTCTGAATGCAAATACATCTCGCAATTTCCAAAGCATAGAGAAATAATCCGAACGCTGTAACGATGCTGTAATTCAGTATGTCAAATCATTTTCAGACTGTAGTTCAAGAAATTTTTGCTCACTGCTACATCCAGGAATCTTTATATGGAAATATTGAATGGGCTCATTTGCAACAAGAAGTAACCACATAATTAGGAAATTATTGAAGTGGCTGTGAAGATGAATGTAAGAAAATTCATTTCAGTAATGAAAGCTGCTGTAAGAAGCAAAAAATTAAACCAGTACTTTAATCTGTAAGTAATCACCGAATGATAAAGTCTAATTTCAATGTATGCGATTAATAGATGAAATTTAAACAGTACCAAAAAAGATGAGCTGCAATTATTAGTGTTCAAACAACTCATCAGTCAACATTTTGTAAAGGTACAAAAATTGCCACTTGTTACTTATATCTTAGCAAAACCATTCCACACACAGTACTGTTTTAGCCGGAATAGCTACCATCTTTTAATAACTGCAGCCCACTGATATGACCCATTCATTCCATCTGAAACAGATTGATAAACAAGGTGAAAGGTTAAAAAATGGTTAACACACATAAATTGAATTACTGATGCTTATTTTGCTAATTACCGTGGTTTTGAGACAGCCTTACATCTAAAAATTTGAATTTTTCAGTTCAAAGAGACTTTGTACCCTTCATTATAACTGCAATTAAAGTCAGACTGGAAATCTGTAAAGCAAAAAAGATAACATATTTCCAACTTTCTCAATCGATCAATATCAATGTTGTCTGAAGACTTCACGAACGTACTGTTCATTAACAGTTTTATAAATAAATTGTTAAAATCGCATTTTTTCATAACACCACGGTAGAGAACTTACAAAGAGAGGCACACCAAAATTGGAATCTCAGAGCTCTAGAAGCAATCAAACTACACGATTAAGACTGATCCAAAGTCGCGATCTACCAACCACTTCAACACACTAACTTCCATCCCGTTCTTCCATTTCTAGAAAACCATCCTCCCGGCTAGTGAGGAACACCGACGACTCTTGCATTACAGCTACTACATAGCCCCATCTTGGCAGCAGTCGTTCGTTGCTTGTCTCAGAAAACTACCACGTTAACTTCAGTTCCACTCCTCCTTACCTCGTTCCGAGTAAGCTACTCCGGCTTTTTGTTTTCCGCATACTTTGCATAATGTGACATAAAATTACTAATGGAGCAGTTGCGCGCCATACTACAACTGCCACATACTCCACCTCTAGTATTTAGGACACTTTTTTGTTACTACTTTTCCCCTCCCTCCTTACATTACTTTCCCAAGACTCTTCAAGACTCGTGCAAAATTGTTCTACCAGCTCCTCAACTTCTTCTAAACCCGCATCCTTCACCCCACCCCTTGAAGTAAAGATTTGGAAACTCAATCAAGCTGTAGAATTAAAGCAACACCACCTGCAATGTTCCCAAGAATCAAATTGTTCTGTGCGCAAAAACTGTAGTCTTCCTAAAGTTGTTTAAAAACCTGCCTTACAAGTGTGATTCAGTCCGGGAACCGGGGAACAAAGTCTCTAGGACAAAACCCACCTGAAAAAGACAACCTAACACGCCTCCCCCTATGAAATGTCAATAAAACGAGACCCGACAAACTCCTCCCACAAGCTATAAAAAATTTGCAACAAGAAAAACAACAAAACTTTTTCTAAATCACCTACCAGTTTCAAAATACCTACAGGCAATTAAAGAACTCTCCGCTTCCCAAACTCGTGCAAAAGACTTACCTAACCAACCTGTCCTTGAATCAGCTAACCACCTGTCCTACACAGTACCCAACAAAGCAGAACAAGACGAGCAGGTCAGATAAGAAACTGAGCACCCTTCACTTGCTACGATTCATTACAGAAAAAAAGAAAAAAAAAAAAAAGAAAATACAGTGAACAAGCTTCTGACAAAAAACTAAAACGCTTACTAAGACTCCTGCAGGAACATCTGCTAAGCAGATAACAATAAAAACATTGGATAACTAAGCATGAGCTCAAAAGTAGACCTCATAATACAGAACACGCACTTTTACAATGGAGGGCTCAGCCGCCAAATTAAATAAAAAACATATAGTACCCAGATGAAAATCCTTTTCAAATGTAACAATCTTGTAGAAACATAAAAAATATAAACAGGAAAACCTAAAAAAACGTGTATTTCAAAAAATTAAAAAATATGCACCCATGGTCTTTAGCAGATATTATGCAAATTTGGAAGGTATTCCTATGATGAAGCTTCTGCATCCCGTCTTGTAATACATAAGAACTTTTCAAGAGCCGTAGTAGTATATCTGCTGAGAAAATACATCTCTCATTCCTCTCCTCATTCATGAGGCAATGTTAGTTTATAAAGCTTCATCATCATAACAACGGCACCACAGTCCGTTTGCGAATTTTCCAACAATGACTACAGAAGTCAAAATACCTCACTGACAACCAATTAATGACTTCAAACTTTACCTCATAATTAAGTGAAACGGAAGACTGCAAATGCATACAGTATAATTTCTCAAACAAAAACCTCACAGCGAATAAAAAACAATTTCTGTATATTAACAGCAAAGTAGCATTAGAGACGCATAAACAACAGTAACAAAAAGTAAAAATTAGTGTGACCTTCAATTAGATCGAGGAAACCTAACACTCTTCGTCTTCTTCTGCAGCATACGGCCTAACCTTAATCTCCCGAACTGTCGCATTTGCCATAGCACCCAGCAGTACCTGCAAAACTACAGTGAAGAATATTTTCCAAGAGAGGTAAATAGAGGAACTTGCACTTCTTAAAAGCCATCAAAACATTTAGAAACAACGTGTTTTTAACATCCACCACAACGGCTACACAAAAGGTAAAAGGCTGCTACTTCCAAAAAATTTTCACGTAAGGAGAAATTCCAGACAGTAAACACAAAAAGTGATCTGTAAAGATGAACCTAACCTCTGGGCAAGAGACGAAGACGTAGTGATCGTTTCCATACTTATTACACGCTGCTCGAACCTTTTCTCGAAGCTGTTCGTTAGATGTGACCCATATGGTGAAAACATTGCGCGAAGAACAAGCGAGACACTCATCCAACATAGGCAAGTCGGTTTCGGAGTCACCACAAACTAATATTCTGCCTTCATTCAATTTGAGCCTCATCTTTCGCTCAATTAACCGAATTCCATGACCCTTGTTGAAAATGCGGCCAGAAAGCTTTGCCTAAAATAAGCACTGTACAGTAGACAAGAGCCACTCTGCTCAAAAGTTAAAAAATTGAATGCCACAAAAAAGTAACCAACTTGATCACGCAGGAATAAAAAAACAAAACGAATCCTGGATTAGGATCCAAAAGTACAAACAAATGTTATGAATTTATATCGAACCTTAGTAAATATCTTCAGGTCGTACTCGCTTTCTCGAAGAGTCAGCGTTGAGCTAGTAGGGTCAACTTCATTCACGATTTTACTTACGGCACGATATCTGGTTGAGAGAGAAATGAGCACCACAATGAACTAGCAACTACCGTAAATGCTTACGAAGACTTACAGAGCAGTAGACCGGTGTTTCGGAACGGAGTTATTGACATCTTGACGAGCAATCGTAATGTGTCCATAATGCTTTTGTAAGCCAGAGCCAATCCACGTAAAGTTCCGGTACTCTGGTTGATCCAAAAGTTCTTCCACCTGAGATACGTGCCATTATAAACAAAGATAAAGACCTGAAGAAGTATTCATTTTCAAAGATAGTACTTTTTCAAACACGTTGTTTAACAGTGCCAGATCGGCTTCGTTAATAGTGTCATCCTTGAATTGCATTGCAGGATTCATGTACCACTCCCTACCTGCAGATGCTCCATACGCGTAGTAACCTGAAAGCAAATTCATTTCGATTTTATAAAAGAATTACAGACCAGATACCTGGCGTTCGCTTTTTTAAAGCAAATTCAAACATTTGAGATCGACAGGCAGAACACAAACACGCTTTTTTTGAAAGTTTATAATCAAAGTCGTAACAAAGTGACACTACAAAAAAGCACAGTGATGCTTCCAAAGAAAACCTTCTGGCATTGAGCTAACGTTTAGTACACCAATATGCATTAGTGGAGACGTAGTAACGATTGCGCAGAACTGGGCGCAACGGCGCGCAAACTGTGCCTAAACCAGAAAGCGGCTTAAAAAATTGAGAAAATATTGATTAAAGTAGCAACATTATAAAGTTGAGAAGTTTACGGCTCTAACAGTACTACTTCAGGAAATACCTTAAAAACATCAAAATGTTTTTGTTTTACTTATTTTGCAGCTTCCTTTGCTTCAGAAAAGGTGGAATCCACTACCTGTGAGACAAATCAAAGCCACTTATCCAATTAGACGCGATAAAAGCAGAAGACAAACAACATGTACCAAAAACTGGCAATATTCACAAGTACTCATTTACTAAGAACATACCCCACAATCCTACTTATAAATACTAACCTGAATAACAGCAGAGTAAGCTGGTTGAATGCTAGCTGGATAAGAACAAGAATACGATTTTAGCGTGCCATCACGGTCAGTAAATAAGTAGTGAAAATGGTCTCCTTCTGAGAGCAGTTGAAAGGCTTTATCAACTTCTTCTGCAAAAGCCTCAGGCCCCGAAGGATGAAACCGGCCAAGAGTCTTAAACAAGCAAAGGAAATATGTCTGCTTCCAAAGCTTGATATCTCAGAAAACAGCACAGTTACGATGCAATAAAATTGTGCTGTTTCGGATCACAATCCAAAAAATAAATTTACCTACCACTTGAAGACTCGAAGCAAAAAACCATATTTTTACAAAACTCAAATATGAAATTGTTAGATTCTTTGGAATAAAAAAAACGAATTACTTGAACGAATTGTTCAACATTATTGATTTCATCACTTTGAATAAACTCTAGAAATGCGAGGTCTTTTTCAAGTTCTTCAAGCTCATTAGAGACGTCAAATTTAGCTCTCAAATGTTCTCCAGATCCATCAGTGTCTGAGTCATCTCCTGCCGCAGCGGTCCCCAAATATAGTAAATGAGTGCCAGGTTTACATGAATTTTCAATCGAATGCTAAACACTTTTCGTTTACTATTATTTCAACTCAAAAATAAAGATGGTAATACAATTGCTTACCTTCGCATTTTCTAGCGAAAGCCCAAAATGAGGACGTATTGCAATACCTTTCAAGATACGTTCTGCGATTTGCCTGCGAACTTGGCAGGTTTTATCCATCAACTGGTAAAAGTCAGCCAAAAGTTTCAACTGAAACCAAAAATATTTCAGGATGGAAAGAGCTGAAAAGCGCTAGTGTATAAATATAAAAATATCTCACTTCAGTCAAGCGAATAACTTCATGAGTCCATGATGGATCCAAAAATGCAGTGCTCCACTCATCTATGTCATGAGACATCAAAAACTGATTCAGTCTTTTCCCATGTTCTTGTCTTACTTCCGGCTGTTCTGTAGCTGCTTTATAGAATGCTTCAGCAAACTCCTTCAAAAAACCGGACCAATAACACAAAAGTTGTAGCAAGATTATACTGTTAACCTCTTATCCAACTTAAACCATTTCTAAAAGTGTCATGGAATGGAGGAGCAAAAAGCCAAATTCATAGTAAACTGTGACCACCAAAGACTACACAGTACCGTATACATAGTTCTACTTCTGACGTAATAAACCTACATCAGCATTTCCAATATCTTCCACTCTGTAATAACACTTCTGATCCTGACCGTAGAGACCAGCGTTACCAAGCTGCACTTCAGTTCCCGCACCTGTTGAAAGTATCAGTGCTGCACAAGGATTACAAACAAGCATCTCTTTAGCAACAAGGTTCATTCCATCCTTGGCCGGAGTAACCACACCAACATCCATAGCCAAATAATGAGCAATAAGCCTCTTCCTTTGAAGCCCTAAAAAAGACCAAATCAAAAAAAAAAAACGCGTACATAAGTAATAAAACCACAAACGCTTTAGCTTTCTTTTTTTGTAAACGTAGTAATGAAAAAGCTGGTATAATGGAAAGTGTTTATAACTTCCTACACCTATAACCGGAAGTAATCAGAAGCAAGGTCAAAAAGTCAGGTAGACCTTCTGTGTCAAATTTGATCGCTCTCCAGTTAGGATACTCCTTCGACCTTATGTTCTCGTTCACTTCATTTACAAGTTTCAAACAGCTGTCTTGGTAAACTCGATATGACTCGACAGAACGACGATTGGTAACAGCAACTTGAAATAAAACATCAAGACCTATACGATCTGGATGAAGTTCAAAATAACGTTTCCAAGCCTGAAAACACAACCATAAACAAAATAACCCGCGAAGAAACTACAACTTTAGTATTTTTATTTGACTTGAAATACAAACTCGAAGTTTCTCCATTATTCCCTTCGTATAATCGAATCGCTCCACGGAAAAGAAGATACATCCATTTTCCGAACCTCCAGATAAAAGCTGAAAAACAAAAAAGTCGGGAAATAATACCTTACTCATACAAAAGACTGTTTATAAACTATTGAGAATTATCATATTAAAAAAATGATGAAAGACCAATTTGTGATTAAACAGAAGTCCACAGAGAGGAAAAAATTGGCTAATACCCTTACTTACGAAAAATGGCATCATCACCTCTTTTCGAATATCCTCCGCGCTTGCTTTTGTCTCTGGTTCTCTCGCTATTGAAATAAAATCCTCATTCTTGATAGATACGGGGAAAACCCCTAGAGAACACGTAAATCCCTAAATAAAACCCGAATCTCCCAAGCACGATGTGAACCGCTGATGATTTAATTCGTGTACGACACACATCAAACAGAAACTGAACAGTTTTGCTGAAAAACTACCTCATGTGTTATTGTATAAATATCAACAGGAGTTTCGTACTGAATTCGAACACGAGAAATATGTTGCTTCACCAATGAAACATATTTATCTCGGTCACGGTGAGTTTGAAATCCCACCTAAAAATTTTCATCCTCAGCAACGCATAAAAGCATGACAGAAAGAAAACAGGATAAATTTTTAGATTTAAAGCTTTACTTTAGTAAACCGCAGCATCGCGCGCAAAACTGGTTCAGCTACAATACGATACTTCGTCATCCAGTTATCAGGCGGTTGAAAAGGTATATGTAAAAAGAATCCTACCTGGAAACAAAGTAATCTTGTAACCAACAGAATATAGAAATAACTATTTCTAGTGTGAAAAGAAAAAACCTCAAGGTTGCTGTCCAGACTCCGCATCATCTGACCAGTCAATATCAAATGATAATCGTGAATCCAAATGAAATCCTGAGGACGACTGTTTCTGACGGCATTAATCCCAAACTGGTAGTTCACTCTTACGTAGGCACACCAGTGTTCTCGTAATATCTATAACGAAAGTAAAAATACTTTCAAAAAAAGCAGATGGATGAAACTTTAAGAAAAGTTGTAAAAAACCTCGGAGAGTAAAAAGGTTTACTTACTTTGAGTTGATATCTAACTATTAAGCAAGACTAAGTTAATATTCAATAAGTTGTGCATGTCACTCACATTCAAGTCGTCATAATCCTTCACAATATAATCCGGCAAATTATGGAGAGCAGGCCATAACAGGCCATTACTTATCCCACCATAGTAGGCATTATAGTCCTCCTGGTTCACAATAACAGGATTTAGCTGGTAGTTGGATTTATTGTAATCGTGAAGCACAGAAAGCAGCGACATGTCACGCCTAAAGGTTTCGATTATTAAATAAACTTTCTTACCAAGTGACCAGAAGCAGGAAAATATGGAGGAACATATAAACTAGCGTTAGAAATATGATACAAGTATTCCTTACGATTATAATAAACCAGACTACCATAACAGATAACTACAAATTATTGTTCTCGGAAACCTACTCAACATTACGTTCACTTTCGGTCAACGATGATTTCTGATCGGCATCTTCCAAAACATGAAATATCTCTCCTGCATTCGCTTGCCGCAACAAAGGCAATCCTAAAGAGTTCGTCGAAGGAGGTACAACATCCTGGAATCAAAAAATTTTGTAAATCCTACGTCAAGAATATACTGCAAACAATCATCTTCACTGATTAGGTGCTAATAGCAGTACAAATCCACTATAAAAGGCGAATTTCTCTACTTTAAAACATTAACAAGAGTAAATAAGTTCATAACATATTAAGAAAACTAATCTCAAAAATTGTATACTGATGCTTTCATTCTTACACGATCTTTACATGTGATGTCCTCTCGTCGGCACCTAACATCGAACTACTCATGCCACTCAGTCATTTTAACTCTCTTTTTGAAGAAATACATTCCTACATTCAGGCATAAGTGACTTCAGTTACTTCTGTACAGAGAGCTCCACTATGACTCCGGTTACTTTTAGACGCATAAAAGCAGTAAAAAGGCTTCAAAAACCTAATTCACTAAGTACAGAGCCTCCAAATATATCGACTTTAGAAACGCGAATTTCCTGCCTCAGATTCTGAAGATAATCGATCTGCGACGTTCTGTAAATTGACTCCCAAATTAGCCAACCATATATTCTCTTTGTCAACACTCATTACGGGATCAACACAGGATACCAAACCGCCACTGCCCTGCTTTATTTCCCAACATCCACTGTCCTTCCGCTTCAGAGAAACTGGAGGTGCATTGGAAACATTGATAACGCGTTGCTGAAAAAAATTGTCCTGTGCACAAAAGAAAAAAATAAATATAAAAAAAAAAATAAAATGTAGTACGCATTTCATAACTAACTTCAAGTCTATTTTTCAAAAAACCAATGCTACCTACAATAGCTAATATTCTCTCTAATTCCTCAGGGATATAAAGAGCAATACTGACTCTAAAAAAAACTAAACATCACTAAATAAATGATCAAATCAAAATTTCTTCCGCGTAGAACGAATGAGAAATCTACCATGCCAATAATATAATTCTTCAAAACCTCTTTATAATAAAAAAAAAAAAACGAATACGACTTATACAAACAAACTGCGTATCGTTTTTTCTTTTTAAAATCTGAATAAATCTGGAAGTGTGACTAATAATCCCGTCAAAAATGACAATTAAGCTCATAAAATTCTAAGCTACATCAAACAAAATAACTCTTAATAGTGTGTGTGTGTGTGTGTGTGTGTGTGTGTGTGTGTGTGTTAGTTTGCTTAGGTATTTTAAAAACAGTACCTTGTGATGCGTTGTGTCTGCAAGACCACCAGACGCCAGCGCATCAGCAACGGCATCCACCGTGTCATCAACTGTATCATTTGGCAAATCCGCCAAATTCTCCATTGATCCCCGCTGGCTAGACATCCGAGAACTAGCACGACTCCGAACCATCTACAAACAAAACTTCTACATTTCTTGCCTATCACTCTTCTGCCAACCATCATTTACATCTTGCCATGTTTTTAAAGTTTATAAAATCTCAATATGTTAATATCAAAAATACACTTCTTTTCAAGAATAAATATGGAAATCAAAAAGAAGTAAAACCCTTCCCCATCCCTTGCTAAAATAATTTTTCAAGAAGTGCAGTAAGTACAACAATTCACATGAAAGGGGGCAGTAGCAGTGTAGATAATTGAAAAAAAGCAAAGAATTAATACGACATATGTTAACTAGACTTTACTAGAAAGCCTTTTTTGACCTGAAGATGACGGTATTTCTCGCCAAAACGTTTAGCGTGCGATCCAAGCATACTTTGCCGAACACCAGGTACCGCAGCATACAACTCCCTTCAAAAAGATCATGTAGAAAATCAAGAATCGTAAGTAACGCTATCGAAAAAACCTTTCTATGAACATCAGAACCCACACTTACAAATAAACCTTAACCCTGCAGATACCTCGAGGAAAACGCACCTCAATCGATTCTTACTATTATTTATGTCGTATAGAGCAAGCGCAAAAAGTAATGCATCTCTATATTTGGTCCCAGCAGAAAGATCTGAATCATATACAAGTGGAACAGCTAAACGCCAAAAAGCGACAGAATTAAAACCCAGCTGCGTAATGAAATAGTCTAAAGCTGTGTTATGTTGCATCGTAAACGATAAACAAAATTCTAAAACCAGCAGCATCCCCTGCAAAAAAAAAAAGGTAAAAATGCAGGACCTCTTAACAAACAGGATGGGTATCCAGTTAAAAAAGTATAACAAAAAAGACCATAAAAACACACATATAAAATGCATATTCACCAGTGAAAATTCATTAATTGTTACTATTTTAACCAGACCTACACTTTAGAAAACTCCCTCAGAAGCACTTAGACTTTAAATGGTAAAATAATATTCTACTAGACAGTATTTTGAATGAAACTCAGTCTAATTTACACTACACCTAGTTTATTCATCAAGAACTAGGACGTTTGAGCTAAAGGAGAAGTTTCGTTTTACCCCGAAAAGCACAAAGAGTGACAGAAAATAGACAAAAAATGCACAACTGTCAGTGCCAGTTCTATGCAATAGAAAGACTAGGACAACACAGTTAGTTAAACCGAAATATGAAAAGCAATCACCTTCAGTTCTCAAAACTACACCTTCTAAGGTAATCATACGAAACATCGGTTGAATTAACTTCGGCTCTCACTGGAAAGGTCCCTAATAACATGACTACATCTGTTATTATATAAAAAATTGAAAGTTAGAGCTGATCTAAGGCTCGAGTTGAGATAAATTTAGATTAATAATTTTAAGTCCTCAAATAAAACCACATAGGAAATGAAGCACAGCGAAAAAGAGAATAGAGCAAAAAATATCCTAAATGCAACCTTAAGTTCTCTCGTGGCGAACCTCTTATTTAAAATTCAACTGAATTTTGAATAATCTTTCTGATTTATTGACTTTGCCCTGACGCTTCATCTATAAGGCCCCTCTGTAACTAAGAAATCAAAATGTAACATTTTATTGAACAAATCTCACCAATACCATGACACTGTTACTTCCTTCAAAGAGACCAACTAAAGCCAATGCAGGAAGCCAAAACTAGACCATTCATGCAGAACTTTTTATAGCAAATAAGCTCCAAAAAATTGCTGTACCTGCAATGCAATTTCAGAGCATTTCGATCGCTCTTTCCACCTCTGACACAAAGATTTACATGCTTCCATTAAAAACTGTTCAATGTCGTCCGTCTCAGGTACTTTTTCTTCCAGCTTTTCAAGTACCCTTGAAACTTCCTAAACAGCATTTGAAATACATAACAGATAACCAATTAACTTAACTAAGTTTGCCATTTCTCTCTAAACACACTTCAAGCTCTAAAATGGCCTAAAAAAATAGTGCAACAAATCAACGATGAAATGCAGTGATGCGGCCACCTAATCTTGATAAAAATTCAAAAAAAAGAAGAAAAGAAGCTTTAAAAAACTTACACGTCGTACACGACCAACGAAATCGGTTTCGTTCCTAATCGAAGCGGCACTTCTTTGAAATGGCCGCTCAGGTACCTGCTGTGCTGGTGAGCAGCAACTTTCCATCATTTCCTCATCGTCACACATCAAGACAAACTTCTCGTTTGTATCCCCCGCAGTTGTGGCTTGATTATCCAAATCTGGAGCTCCATCATGCACCATCTGCACAGTACCATTTGCTCCGGTCAACCGTTCAGTTAATTCAGAATTTGTAGCTTCCATATTACTGTCACTAGGTAATGATCTCTAAACATATAACATTTAATCAGGAGGAAAAAAGAAAACGAATCCAAAAAAAAAACGTCCGTTCCTCAAACCAAAAGAAACTGAACAACGATTACAAAGTGTGTTAGTATATGAAAGTTTGTCAAGCAAACTTTCCAAGTACATAGAAAAGAAACAACAATAAATGTTCAATAAATCCAATAAACCTACGGAAGAATAAGACAGAAGAGCAAGAAACGAAATGACTAGTAATAACAATAACGACAATAACAGTAAAAATAATAATAAAATAATGGTAATAATAATAATAATAACGATGATAATAAATGATAATAATAATAATAATAATAATAATAATAATAATAATATACTATTATTATTATTATTATTATTATTATCATTATCATTATCATTATTATCATTATCATTAATATTGTTAAAGGTTACGGTGGTGAAGATGAGCAAAATGTGATAACAGGAAAACAAAGTAACTCCGGAAATATTACAATAACAGTAAAGAAAAAATAACTAAATAAATAGTTAAAGAAATAAATTTTCCATAACACATTAGAAATTTTTTTAAATTTAATGTTAAAAAAAAACCAGTGAAAATTGAATTCACATACAAAGTTAATTTGAAAAAAAAAAAAAAAAAAAAAA